ACCAAGGCCTGAGTCCCCTGGCCAGGGCACAGTTGTTGCCCAAAATTCATCTTTCACTGTTTTGCTTGGCCCAGTTTTAAACATCGTCACCGTCCACTCGTATTTTTGCTTATGAGTCCAGTCGCACACTTCTGGCTCTGTAAGGGCATCCAGGACTTTAGATGCGCAGGCTTGGCAGCAACTCTCTCTCCTCCTGCCCTCCCTCCCATACCTGGGTTCTTTGCCTCGCCTTGGCCTTTGCTTAACATGAACGATGCACATTTAATTCTTACCAGCGTTCTGGGCAAGCCAACCTTTTGAAACCTTTCATTTTTCATTATTATTCCTTCAGCTTTGGCACTCCTGCAATCCTTAGGCTGTGTCGGCTCCTCTGAACTCTGCCTTGGTCTGGCCACTGTCCTCTGGCTCTCTGAGGAACCCATCTGGAGAACAAGGCACTGTTCAAGCTGCCGTGCCCCCAGAAGCCTCCAGGAACCCCCAGGAGCACCTTTTCTTCTTGGCTGGTCCCTCCCTCTCACCCATATCCTCCATCCTGTGTCCTCAGGGCCTTGGGGACATGTGTCCAGCAGCCCACTGGGCCATTTCCAGCACGCAGTTCTAGCTCCCGACGTCTTCTGGTATTAGATCCCTGTCCTCCCTGATGTTTGCTACATCTCCCAATTTAGTATCATCTGCAAATTTAATTAACATGCCGTTGCCTCCCTGTTCCAGACCATTAATGAAGATGTTACGGCAGTACCCGGCAAACAATATTTTCAAGGTCACGAGGAGAGGAGAGCTAAACTGCTAATACTTCTGCCCGCTGTGGGAGAAAAAGGCAATCAAGCGCTCACATGTGGTTTGAGCCATTTCCTCTGAGTTTTGTCAACTCCTTTCCCAGACGTGGGTTAGGTTTCTACACCTCCCCTCTGCCTGAGTTGCTGCATATCCGTGGCAATTCCCACTTGGAAAATGAAGAACATCAGATCACGCCTTCCTTTTATTTTTGTCCAGTTTCTAGCAGGAGAGAAACAGCCACTAATTGAGCATTTATAGGGAGAGCCAAGGTACATGGTAAAGACAAAGTCGTGCTTATTAGGCTTGTTATCCACCCAGCTCCATTTCCAAAGCACTAACCGTGGCAGTGGAAAATGCCCAGGGAGGACCAACGCACAAAGGGGAGAGAAGTCGTATTCCGGGCCACACAGTTCCCAAAGGGCTGGCCCACATGGTCTGCAGCCCAGAGGAGTGTGTGGGAAGGCCACTGCCTCCTAGCAGCTTGAGACCCCAAAGGAGACCCGGAGCCCCCTGTGAGTCTACATTCCCCTTGTGCATCAGCAGGCGTAGCTCATCGTGAACCCTGGTTTGCCTTCCACACCAAACCGCAGATGTCACACTGTAATACTGCAGATTACTTGGGTCAGAAACACTGAATCATGGGAGAGATCCAGGTTAGTGCTATTCACGCCCAGAAAATTGATCCCGGGTTATTTACTGTCCCCAGCACTTCCCTTCTCCCCATCTCTCACTACAGGCCTGTCTCGGGCTTGGAGGCTCCTAATCATTTCTCAGACAGAATGTCTTAGAGGCGTCTCTGGACCAGAGCCCAGACTGGCCCAGCAGAGGCAGGGCACGGATCTCAGAGCCCTACCGTGGAGGGGCCCTGGGGAAGTGGCCTCAGATGTCTCCTTGTGCTCAGTGCATAGGCCTGCTCTGCCATCTGCAGTCCTCCTCCCAGCCCAGGCCTGGCCTCTCCAAACCCAAGAACAGACAAGCGCAATGGTCAGCTCGGACTGCACCGTGCTCAGAGGCCTCGTGGGGACAGCTGGAGGAGAGGCTGGCAGGTCTGCAGAACTGCACCAGGCCACTGTTTTCTGTCTTCCCTGACTATAAACATCCTTATGTTTACTCACCAAACAATGAGGGGCAGAAGAGCACAGCAACTTAAAAAAATCAATAAATAACAAAAATAAAAACAAAACCAAGCTCGATTCTGAAGCCATACTCCCTGCATTTGAATCCTGGCCTGGCTATTTGAATAGCTGTGTGACCTTGGGTCCGTTGTTCCACCTCAGTTTCCCCACATGTGGTTTGGGATAATAACCACACCAGCCTCAGGGCTGTATGAGGTTTAAAAAAGCAGATACGTGTAACATCTGGCTGTTATTTATCACATGCTCCAGACACTGTCGAGGTCAGGCACCAGCAAACACTTTCTATAAAGGTCCATATAATAAATATGTTCAGCTTTGTGAGCCGTAGGTCCCTGCCATGGCTACTTCAACTCTGCTGTTACAGCCCAAAAGCAGCCATAGGTAACACATAAATGAATAATGGCTCTGTTCCCATAAAACTGTATTTATGAGCATGGAAGTTAAATTCACATGTTACTAAATATCATTCTTTTGATATTTTGATTATTAAAAAATGTGCTGGGCATGGTGGCTCATGCCTGTAACCCCAGCACTTTGGGAGGTGGAGGTGGGCAGATCACCTGAGGTTGGGAGTTCAAGACCAGCCTGACCAACATGGAGAAACCTCGTCTCTACTAAAAATACAAAATTAGCTGGGCCTAGTGGCGCATGCCTATAATCCCAGCTACTTGAGAGGCTGAGGCAGGAGAATTGCTTGGACCCGGGAGGTGGAGGTTGCGGTGAGCTCAGATAGCACCATTGCACTCCAGCCTTGGTAACAAAAGCAAAACTCTGTCTCAAAAAAAAATTAATAAAAATAAATTTAAAACGTGAAAACTGTTTTTAGCTCACAGGCTTTAAAGAAAAAAACAAAAAATGAGTGGCAGGCTGGTTTGGACTGTGAGCTTTATTCTGCCTATCCAGGTCTAGATGCTAGAGAGGCAGGTGTGACGTCACCACAGCAGCCCATGCTTATGGACGGAGCCCCCCAGGGCATCCCCGAGCCTGAGAAGCTGACAGGTTACTTCCAGATCCTCAAGGGACTACTCTGCCCCCACCAAGGTCTGTGACTTTGTCTTTTGGTTTTGTTTTGTTTTGTTAAGAGACAGGGTCTCACTCTGTTGCCCACGCTGGAGAGCAGTGGGATAATCACGGCTCACTCTATCTTCCACCTCCCAGGCTCAAATGATCCTCCCACGTCAGCCTGCCGAGTAGCTGAGACCACAGTGCACGCCACCGTATCTAGCTAATTGTTTTTATTTCTTTTAGAGATGAGGTCTTGCTATGTTTCCCAAATTGGTCTTGAACTCCTGGGCTTCAAGCAATCCTCCCGCCTCAGCCTCCAAATGCTGGGATTACAGGTGTCAGCTGCCTCACCTGGCCCAGTGACCTCTTCCTAAAAGCCCCTCTTGAAACAGGGACAGTAAGACTCCAACAAGGCCCGAGGTTAAGGGCTGGCAACTCCGCTGCAAATTCCAGCATTTGGAGCTCTCATTCCTGAAATAAGTCTCAGACTTCAGAGCCACACTGTGCATCTCACAACAGCCGCTGGTCCAATGTGCTGAGTTCTAACCGTGGGTGCAGAGTGGACTACTGCACACAGAGGCCTTGCTGGCGGGAAGCGAGGAGGTCAGGACACCAGCTGCCATCTGTTTTCATTAACCCTCACTGAACGGGGAAGGTAGAAGTTATCTGTGTCAAGCATAAAGCACTGCAAACATTTACTTCTGAACAGAAGAGCCAGAGCAGACCCAAGGACCAGCTGCGCAGGGGCTCCTGGACAAGAAGCAGTGCCCCTCTGGATGTGCGGAGCAGCCTTTCTGCAAGGCGCTACTGGCCAGTGTAGGTCTCCTGGGAAAATGGCCACTGCCCACCCAGACCCTCAGGATTCCACACCAAGACTGTACCCCACCTCTGCCTCTGCCTGGTCCTGCCCAGGTACCCGGAAAAGTAGAGGTCTTCCAGAGTGATATTTTCAAGATATCATGAGGACCCCCAATACTCCATTCACAGTATCATGAGGTCCCCAATACTCCATTCACAGTAGCATGAGGACCCCAATACTCCATTCCCTCCATCAAATCTAAATCCTTCTGCTTGGTTGCTAAGGGACCTCACACTCAGACCTGACTGAGCGGCTCCCAGGCAACAAAGGGGACCTCCTGTGACAATACCGCACCATTCTAAGCCTGTGCATGCCCCAGATCCCCAGAGGCCCTCACTCCTGCCCTCTGCTGCACCTGGCCACGTCTGGCCTTGCCCCTTGTGTGAAGAAGCCTTGCAGGGGAGTCACAGATGAGCTATCTAACAGTGCCTCGGTTTCCTTATCTGCTTAATGGGGGAAATAAACACACCCACCTCACGGGGTTGCTGCGTTTAAACAGAACGCTCGTGTCAAGCATTTTCTGAGTAATGTTGCACTCCGGAAACGGCCCCGGCCAGCCCCAGCAGCAGCAAGCCAGGTCTGACCCCAGATCATAGTCACCTCTTCCCTCTTCCCGCTTTGAAGCTTTATACGTACTGTTGGAATTGCATGATTCCCATGAAACATTGCCCAGTGGGTGTCCATCTCCCCGTTTAGGCTGCAGCGTCCGGACCTTCCACACCATCACCCCTATGCATTTCCTTGGCTCTCCCGCAGCATCTGGCCCCACGAAGCCCTGGGTCTGGACTCAGTCGTTTTCTTTTCATTAATCCACTGAAATGTTGTCACAAACTCCTGAACACTTTCTTTCACGAGGGGCTTCAGGGGGAAGACTGAAGAGAAGTTATCTTTCTAATATAGAGTTCTGACAAGACAGCAGAAAATCTGATCGCTAGAGCGTTGGCCTGCAGACGTTCACCAATGTCATATATTTAAGGCACAAAAAAACAAAAGGCTTTTGTTAAAATGACCTCTGAGAGACAGCTGAGTTGTCAGTGGACGGGAGAATGCCACCTGGGTGGGGGCCAGCTTCCACTGAACTCCGGCTGTCGCTGTTTCTTCCAGGAAAGCCCTGGAAACCCTTAGCATGGCCGGCCCAGCCTGGGGTTTCCACGAGCTTCAAGAATCCAGGCTCCCCCACCGAGGGCCCCCAAAGCTGTGGTCAAAGGTTAATGGGCTCCAAGGCTAGCTCCCAGGGTTGCGAGGTATATAAGAGCCCGTCAGACCAGCCCCGACGCCAGAAGACAAGCAGAGAGAGACTCCTCCAGACCCACTCAGACCACGCGCACGCCGTAAGTAGCCCTCGGGGAAGGTGGGTGGGGAGTGGTCAGCATCAGCCCTAAAGCAGAATGGTGGGGCTAGCCAGGGCCAGCCTGGTCCAGGGCCCTCCTGCTGCCTTCCAATGCCCAGCTGGGCTTCGCACTGAGTGCCCGAGCTGATTCCCAGAGCCTCAGTGAGCAGAGACAGGGCCAAGGCACGGAGGCTGGAGGGAATCAGGTGGGTGCAATGCCTGGCAAGGGAGAGACTGTTGTGAGTGGGTCTGGTACATACACGGCGGGCTGAGAACCCAAGCCAGAGCTCATCACGGGCGTAGGGCCCCACTTGGCATGGCGGCTTTGCTCTGGAAAGGTAAGAAAAAGCTGGTCCCAAGGGAGAGCACATGGGGAGGCCAGGCTAGTCCAGCCAGGACTGCTGCAGGGGAGGGCGGCCAGGCACAGCCTCCTGCAGAGCTGAGCACTTGAAGGCTGAAGCCCCCACCTCTAATGATGGGAAAGGAAAGACAGCTTCTCACTGTGCAATGATAAGCTCCCCCTCCCACCCCCAGCTCACCAGAACACATGAGAACGTAGGTGACATGCCGACTGCCAGGTGGATCAAGAAAATGAGCAGCAATTGGATTTTGCCTTTTTTTATTTAAAGTTTTATTGATTCCTATGGAGTGAATTAAATACAAATAACAGAATGAAACAGGATCTATAGCATCTCTGTGAAGGAAATGGGACGCCATAAATGTGACACATCCATCTCCGCTGGGGGGAAGAGTGGGCCCCGGAGAGTCTTCAGGGAAAGGACAGGAAGGAGAAGGGAGGAAAAGTGGTGGGGCCCACCCCACCCACACCCACCCATTCTCTGTTCAGCTCAAGCTCCTCTGGGGCTCCGCACAGGACCTCTGCCTCCTGGGAGGTGGTCTTGAGTGGGTGGGTGGTCCTTTCAGCCCGCTGAGAATTTGCATACAGCTGGGGTGGGAGGCTTTGGCTGTCTGAGCTCTCTTGTTCTTGTTCATGGCGTTTGAACAAAATGGAGAGAAAATAGGAAGTGGGAGGAAGAGAGGGCAGGAACAGCACGAAGGCAAAGGGAGCATCCGGCTTGGTAGGGGTAGTTTCAGATGACTGAGACAGGTCCTGGCTGAGAGGCAGGAGGCAAGCCTACAGCCTTGGAAGGTTCTGTTCAAAGGGGGAGCCAGGCTGACACCTACCGAGGAGCCCAGAGGCCTTTCTGGAGCAGACTCTGTCCTGCCGACAGAAGCCAGGCTGCCCAAGGACTGGGGGAGTGCTTTATCTGAAGCCTTGTAACCACTTTCGCCCCTGCCCCTACTGCTGCAGGGGCTGTCCCGCTCTCCCCTCCCTGCTCGGATGCTTGGTCCCTGCACTCAGCAGTCCACCCAGCGCAGGAAAGGGGTGCCCACAATGCATTCCACAGGCCTGCCCCTGTGCCTTCCTCTGCCTTCTTATGGGCAGAGGCATCGTGGAGTGGGGTATTGGGAAAAGCACTGGGCTTCAAAAGGCCAAGGTTCCAGCCCCTGCTGCCTTTGGATAAGTCAACTGAGGCTGGCACTCAGCCAGGTTGCACCACCCTCACCCCAGGACCACCCTGTCCCTGCCTGAAGTCTGCCCAGTGGACCTTTTCTCAAGGCTCCGCACCCCTGCAGTCACCATGCCCCACCTGCTCCCCGGCAGGACCTGAGCTCCAAAAGCCTACCACAGCCCAATGTCCTGCCAGCCATTCCACACATTCCCACTTCCCGATCAGCAATTATCCGGCTCGTGGGTCTACTTCTTTTGTCATTCTAATAGGCACTGGAGCAGGGAGGTATCCCTGGGTCTTGGGGCACAGTTCTGCTGATAATCTAGGAGTTCCTTCTCTGAAGATGAGGTTCCTCCTGCCCTATGAGCCCAGCTGACCCCAGAAGCCCTCACCTGTAACAAAGAGAAGAGTGGACAAGTGAAATGATTCCTCCCTGGTGTGTGGCAGCGGGCTGGATGGCCTTTCCCCTGAGCTTGGTCAGCTGCCCCCACTCTGGGGCAGAAAGGTGCTCAGAGCTCGTCTGCTAAGCTCTGCTACCAGGCCCACGTCCAGAGAGGCTGAACTCTGGCTCAAGATGACATGGCTAGAGGTGGAGCATGGGCCAGAACTGAGGGCCCCTGCCTCGGATGCAGCAGTCTGCCACTGCACCCCAAACTTGATGACAAGAGTTCCTTGTCATTGTCCAGCTCCAAGATGGTATCCCGTAAGGCTGTGGCTGCTCTGCTGGTGGTGCACGCAGCTGCCATGCTGGCCACGCAGACGGAAGCCTTCGTCCCCATCTTCACCTATGGTGAACTCCAGAGGATGCAGGTAAGAGCTCCCTGCTGCTCGCCTTGCTAGCAAGGCTGAGGTCACTCGCAGCCCTGCCCAGCCCTGAAGTGGTGCTAGTCTCTCTGAAGCACTGTGCTCCTTTGGTAAACCATGCCTAATGATCTACGCCAGCGATACCAAGGAAAGTGTGCAGGATCAGGACCCAAGATAACCCCCAGTCCCAGCCGCCTCTCTGGCCACCTTCGCGCCTGCACTGGCATCACTCAGAGATGTCAGTGGCTCAAATGAGCAACATCTTTCCCACCTCTGCCTGTCCTTTGGAGGAAATTTTAAATAACAAGCCAATAAATATTTACTGAGCTGCTCTGCAGTACAAGAGGCCACCCTGGGCAATGGGCCCGAGCATGCAAAAGAATCTCAGCACCTCCCCGTCTCCAGGGAGCAGGCTGGGGTGCCAAGACATGAACATATGAAAAATTAACTAACAGTTGAAGACAAAAGAGAGATGTCACAGGCAGGACATGATGAATTGCCCGTCAGCGGTGCTGATGCTAAGTGCTCAGATTCAGAGGAGGGAGAATCATCAAGGGCTGCAGTGTGCTTGGAAGCCTGCAGAGAAAAGGTGGAACTCAGCTGGGGGCTTTGAGAGATCAGGAGTGAGGGACCAATGGGAGCCGGCGCCCAGAGGTGGGAAGCACGGCTTCGGTCCATGTAGCAGTGGCCAAAGCCTCCTCCTCTGTAGGGCCCAGAAGAGAGCCAGGCAGGTCTCATGGAACTCAGGCAGCAGAGCCTAAGGAAAACAGAACTGCTGGCTCTGCCTCCCTGCTGCCTTTACTTTAGACCTCTGGGGATGCTGAGTGTCTATGCAGACATTTGGTTCCCTTTAACCCAGGGAGATGAAGAGAGGACTTTCATGCTCCACCCAGTCTGAGACTGAGACTCCAATAAGGGATGAAAACAGGAGTCGGTGCCCAGAGGGGTCTTGAGGCTCTGGGGCACAGCCTGTCTGCAACTGCAC